AGAAAGTAAGAGTTGTGTCTCACAAAACAAGTATGATCCTGCACTGATTTTGAGCCAATAGGTCACATCACCTGGAAGGAGTGCTCATATTTACATGATGAAATGTATTAGCAGGGATGGATTACTGACCAGGCCCAGGGTCCCAAGAGCTCTGCTGCTCTACACAAAGATGCTACTGTAATATAGGCTTATATTTGGTTTGTTCATCTCATGCCTGAATATTGTCAATTTATTTCCACAAAATTCAGCAGAACCTAATCCAAATTGTCTTCCAGGGGAGCATACCCCTGGATCCCGCTTGACAATTATGTTGATCAGGGCATATATCTTGGCTTTTCTAAAAAATAAACTAGTTCAATACAGTTAACCACGTTTGCTTAATTTCTTTGATGGCTCAGATGTATGCTCTAGTTGATTTTGTGTTTTCACCATTCGTATCTATACAACCAATGTGTTTATGATTAAATTGTTCACAAGAGCACACAGGTCTTCATATATCTAGCCTCTTAATTTTGCTTTCAAAGTGCACCAGATTGATGCATTTAACTTTAAAATGTAAAAAAAAATCTTCCGGGGGAGCATGCCCCCGGACCCCCCTAGAGGGTCCGAGATCCACCCACCATAGTCTCACAAAATCCTGTGGGAAACACTGAAGTCACCAACGTGCCAGTATGTGAATGATGTCATGTTTTGGTGGGTGAATTCTGCCATAACACAGTGACCTTGTGGCGCAACGGTAGCGCGTCTGACTCCAGATCAGAAGGTTGCGTGTTCAAATCACGTCAGGGTCATCAGCTTTTCCAAAACTCCAGTAGGATCAAGTTCCTCATGAGTTCCTCCATTAGGTATACACTGGTTAACATGTGTAACTGAAATAAGAAAAGTTGGACTCACTGGAACAGGTCAGCCTGTCTGCTGCTGTGTAAGAACCAACGCACTACATTTGCCAGAAGCACTGAAATATGCGTATGCATGCACAGGACACCAAGGTCAAGTTAACAACAACAGTAGTGAATCTGACCCCCTGATCAGAACAGTGTGTTCAAATCCGGTCGGTGTCATTTGCATTTCACAGTTGTTCCTTTCTATAACAAAAAACAGTGATGCAATGGAGATAAATAAGAAAGCAGAGGAGGTAAGATCATACATTGTGACATTATTTCCCAAATGTATTTGCAGTTAAGGCTGGGCGATATGGACTAAATCAAATATCACAATATGTTTGACCAGGGCCAGGTCTAGGCAGGGGCAAGAGGGGGCCTGGCCCCCTCAAATAAATGTTGTGCCCCCTCAAACTAAATCCCTATATTATATTTTATATATTTTTATTATCTCATGCCTCTCTCCTCCACTCCACTTCTTAATGTCTTAATGTCTTTCTTGCCCCCTCAAATATAAAATATATCAAGTTGTTTCTAGTGTCATGTTTCTCGCCTCCGCTCCATCTCCCCTTTTCGCACTTGTTCAGTGTACCCGCATCCTAGTGAGTGAATTTGTCAGTTAGACATGGTAAAAGGTGCTGGAGCACAATGCCCCCTTAAGATTTGTGGCTGCCCCCTCATACATGCCTGTCTAGACCCGGCCTTGTGTTTGACCAAATACTTTGATATTACAACAGTATTGTAGTGTTCACTATTGGTGCTTTCACAAAATATTTACACAATGAGATTTTTGATAAACAATCATCAGTAATGTGGATGTATTGACTAAGTGGGTAAAGGCAAATAATAAAACAGCTGGAACAGTTCAGAAAATTACATCACTTTACTGTAATGCAGCCTTTAAAACCAGGAAAAGACAACACTTATACCACATCACGAGATTACAATATCCAAAATCTAAGACGATATATAGTCTCATCACGATATCGATATAGTGCCGAGCCCTATCTACAGTACAATGTCTCTTCATCGAGAATGTAGTTCACAACTATAATAGCATTATTTAGAAAGGAAGGAGACACTTTTACTGAACATACGGTTCGAAACAAACTAGCGAGTTTCTCCTTGGGTTACATTTTGGTTGTTATAGGCTCTTGCACAGGTGGTTTAGTGTTATGAGAAATTGTTTGACTATTACGTGAATTGCACTTACAGAATGAAGTCAGATGAGTGAAAGCAGGCCATGTTAAAGGTTGCTCCAGGTGAGGTTCGAACTCACAACCTCGGCATTGCTCAGCTGGCTACTGCTGTATAAGTACCACGCGCTGACCGATTGCGCCACTGGAGCTTATTTCCACATATGTACATAAATGTGCATGTGCATTCCAGACATGACAGCTAACAAACATGCACAGGTTACTTTATTGATTAATTGTATATTCACAATGAGTAGAGTCTAAACATGGTGGATTCAGAGTATGGCTTCTTAGGTGTGCACATGCATACACACCCACAGTAAGTCACCAATCCAGTATGTGAATTATGCCGTGTTTTGGTGGGTGAATTCTGCCGTAATACAGTGACCTTGTGGCGCAACGGTAGCGCGTCTGACTCCAGATCAGAAGGTTGCGTGTTCAAATCACGTCAGGGTCATCAGCTTTTCTAAAAACCCACACTAGGATCAAGTTCCTCATGAGTTCATCCATTAGGTATAGATGTTGGTTAACGTGTAGAACTCAAATACGAAAAGGTTGACGCACTTCAACAAGGCAGCCGTTCGTGCATGCGTGTTTGTGCAGCCGTTTGTCCAGCATGTTTGTGCATGCGTTCCAGACAGGTCACTGTTTATATTCAGGTCACTGTTTGTATTCACAATGAGTATGGTCTAAACATGGAGGATTCAGAGTATGGCTTCTTTGGTGTGCACATGCATACACACCCACAGTAAGTCACCAACACTCCAGTATGTGAATGATGTCATGTTTTGGTGGGTGAATGCTGCTATAACACAATGACCTTGTGGCGCAACGGTAGCGCGTCTGACTCCAGATCAGAAGGTTGCGTGTTCAAATCACGTCAGGGTCATCAACTTTCCTAAAAATCCACACTAGGATCAAGTTCCTCCATTAGGTGTGTATTGGTTAACATGTGGAGCTCAAATACTAAACGGTTGACGCACTTCAATAAGGCAGTTTGCTGGTTTCACATCTACATTATTTGCTGTAAAGTGAAGCAACTGGCAGTAAACTTTACCACTTCATTCAGTGAACTTGTGGAACAACGGTAGCACATATGACTCTAAATCAGAAGGTTGTGTGTCAAATCCCATTGTGTCATTTGCCTTTCCTAAATGTGCAGTAACTCATCTTGAAACCAACACTGTAGGTGAGATGAAAAAAAAGGAGTTAAAACATACTTCCTGTATCTGCAGTATAATTCATGTTCATTGAGAATGTATAATCTATGACAGCATAAGTAGGGTGAAACATGTACTAAGTGTTTTGAATCAAACCAGCATCAACAGTGTCTTGAGTTCAAAATTAGGTGGTCCCCCTTTTAAACGCAGCTGAGCGAAACTCGGCCGAGTTAACGGCTACTCGTGGTGAGGGTCAAACTCACAACCTCTGCATTGCTCTGCTGGCTACTGATTTGTAAGTACCGCAGGCTGACCAACTGCACCACTGGAGCGTAAATGTGCATGTGCGTTCCAGACATGACAGCTAACAAACATGCACAGGTAACTTCAGTGGTTAATTGTATATTCACAATGAGTAGAGTCTAAACATGGTGGATTCAGATTATGGCTTCTTAAGTGTGCACATGCATACACACCCACAGTAAGACACCAACGCTCCAGTATGTGAATGACGTCATGTTTTGGAGGGTGAATTATGCCATAACACAGTGACCTTGTGGCGCAACGGTAGCGCGTCTGACTCCAGATCAGAAGGTTGCGTGTTCAAATCACGTCAGGGTCATCAGCTTTTCTAAAAATCCACACTAGGATCAAGTTCCTCAGGAGTTCAACTATTAGGTATATATGGCATTGCTCTGCTGGCTACTGCTGTATAAGTACCACGCGCTGACCGATTGCACCACTAGAGCTTATTTCCACACATGCACATAAATGTGCATGTGCGGTGCGTTCCATACATGACAGCTAACAAACATGCACAGGTAACTTTAGTGATTAATTGTATATTCACAATGAGTAGAGTCTAAACATGGTGGATTCAGAGTATGGCTTCTTAGGTGTGCACATGCATACACACCCACAGTAAGTCACCAACACTCCAATATGAGAATGACGCCGTGTTTTGGTGGGTGAATTATGCCTTAATACAGTGACCTTGTGGCGCAACGGTAGCGTGTCTGACTCCAGATCAGAAGGTTGCGTGTTCAAATCACGTCAGGGTCATCAACTTCCCTGAAAAATCACGCTAGGATCAAGTTCCTCAGGAGTTCAACTATTAAGTATACATGTAAAACTCAAGGAAGAAGAAAAGGTTGACTCACTGGAACAAGTGAGTCTGCGGTTTTCGCATCCACAATATTTGCCGTAAAGTGTTACTACTGGCAGTAATATCATGAATAAAAATAAAAATCAGCATGGAGGTGGAAGGTGTATGATCGTCAGCCCCGTGACCAGTTAGCTTTACTGGTTGTGAGGACATCACAGTTGAGGACTGCAGAGGGTGGCTGTGACATGCCAGAAGGTTTTTCCCTCTGTGCCTTGAAAGGCAAGACATCAGCTGTGATGTTGATGAAGTGCTCTGCCCTAATAATACATAATAATGCCTTAATAATACGTAATAAACATGTTTTTTTCTCATATTTGTGTGTCCAGGAAATATGTTGCATTGACAGCAACACGTCCGTAAAAACAATCTGTCCAGTTTTGATTCAAACTCCTGAATTTTGAGTATAAGGGTTCATGCAATGATCAAAGCATGATGTATATTCGATGCCATTGTTGTACCATTTGACTGAGCAACTTTTTGGTTGTTATAGGCTCTTGCACAAGTGGTTGAGTGTTATGAGAACTTGTTTCACTGTCATGTGAATTGCAAGACTTTTAGGAATGCAGTGAGATGACTGAAAGTGGGCAATGTTACAAGTTGCTCCAGGTGACAGTCAAACTCACAACCTCAGCACTGCTCTGCTGGCTACTGCTGCATAAGTACCACCCGCTAACCAGTTGCGCCACTAGAGCTTATATCCACACTTGTGCGTTACAGACATGACAGCTAACAAACATGCACAGGTAACTTTATTGATTAATTGTATATTCACAATGAGTAGAGTATAAACATGGTGGATTCAGAGTATGGCTTCTTAGGTGTGCACATGCATACACACCCACAGTAAGTCACCAATGCTCCAGTATGTGAATTATGCCGTGTTTTGGTGGGTGAATTCTGCCATAACACAGTGACCTTGTGGCGCAACGGTAGCGCGTCTGACTCCAGATCAGAAAGTTGCGTGTTCAAATCACGTCAGGGTCATCAACATAGGTGAGATGAATAAAAAAAGTAGTTAAAATCATACAGTGTCACCTTATTTTATCTGCAGTACAATTTATCTTCATTGAGAATGTAGTTCAAAACTACCGTATAATAGCATAAGGAAGGAGAAACTTAAAAATTGGTTTGAAAATCTAACTAGCATCGACAATGTCTTGGGTTCAAAATCAGACAAGGTGGTCTTCCTTTCAAACGAGTGAAACTGGGCCGAGATAATGGCTGCTCGAGGTGGGGGTTGAACTCACAACCTCGGCATTGCTCTGCTGGCCACATGCATACACACCGACAGGACGTCACCAACGCTCCAGTATGTGAATGATGTCATGTTTTGGTGGGTGAATGCTGCTATAACACAATGACCTTGTGGCGCAACGGTAGCGCGTCTGACTCCAGATCAGAAGGTTGCGTGTTCAAATCACGTCAGGGTCATCAACTTTCCTAAAAATCCACACTAGGATCAAGTTCCTCATGAGTTCTTCCATTAGGTGTATGTTGGTTAACATGTAGAGCTCAAATAAAAAAACTGGCAGTGAACTTTATCACTTCATTCAGTGAACTTGTGGCACAACAGTAGCACATTTGACTCTAAATCAGAAGGTTGTGTGTTCAAATCCCATCGTATTATTTGCCTTTCCTAAACGTGCAGTTAATCATCTTGAAACCAACAATGTAGGTGAGATGAATAAAAAAGGAGTTAAAATATCCTTAATGTACCTGCAGTATAATTCATGTTCATTGAGAATGTAGTTCAAAACTATAATAGCATAAGGAGGGTGAAACTTGCACTAAATGGTTTGAATCAAACCAGCATCAACAGTGTCTTGCGTCCAAAATTAGGTGGTCTCCCTTTTAAACATAGCTGAAGGATCCTGGGACGAGTTAACGGCTGCTCAAGGTGAGGGTCGAACACACAACCACGGCATTGCTCTGCTGGCTAATGCTGTGCAAGTACTGCGGGCTGACCAACTGCACCACTGGGGCGTAGATGCACATGTGCGTTCCAGACATGACAGCTAACAAACATGCACAGCTAACTTTAGTGATTAATTGTATATTCACAATGAGTAGAGTCTAAACATGGTGGATTCAGAGTATGGCTTCTTAGGTGTGAACATGCATACACACCCACAGTCACCAACGCTCCAGTATGTGAATTATGCCGTGTTTTGGTGGGTGAATTCAGCCATAACACAGTGACCTTGTGGCGCAACGGTAGCGCGTCTGACTCCAGATCAGAAGGTTGCGTGTTCAAATCACGTCAGGGTCATCTGCTTTTCTGAACATCCACACTAGGATCAAGTTCCTCATGAGTTCATTTATTCGGTATATGTAGCTTAGTGATGTTTGGCAATACATACGTGTGCTGCATTGCTCTGCTGGACAAGTAACACACACTGCCCAATGGTGCATGTGCACACACACACAGAAAACAGTGATGTAGTTGTACCGATTGCGCCCATTGAGCTTATTTATGCACATGCACGTGCATGTGCGTACAAGACATGACAGCTAACAAACATGCACAGGTAACTTTAGTGATTAATTGTATATTCACAATGACTATGGTCTAAACATGGTGGATTCAGAGTATGGCTTCTTAGATGTGAACATGCATACACACCCACAGTAAGTCACCAACGCTCCAGTATGTGAATGACGCCGTGTTTTGGTGGGTGAATTATGCCTGAATACAGTGACCTTGTGGCGCAACGGTAGCGCGTCTGACTCCAGATCAGAAGGTTGCGTGTTCAAATCACGTCAGGGTCATCAACTTCTCTGATAATCCACACTCAGATGGAGTTCCTCAGGAGTTCAACTATTAGGTACATGTAAAAGAAAAGGTTGACTCACTGGAACAAGCGATTCTGCTGTTTTCACATCCACAATATTTGCCGTGAAGTGTTACTACTGGCAATTAGGGGTGTGAACGTGTACACGTGTACACGTGTAACCGGTTAGTAAATCATAACCGTTTAGGAAAAATCAGTAAACAAAAAGGAAAAAAAAAATCAAAATCTTCAATCAATCTAAATATTCTGCACGATTGCGGCGGACCCGGCCGCGGACCCAGCACCGGAACCGCCAGCCGCGGACCCGACCGCGCTCCTATTTTTTTCTGGTACAAAATCTGTTTGTCTAGTAAAAATTGTCATCTACTCGCCAGTTGTCTGGGGGGTATACTACGAAGCTCGATTAGTGGGTTAGCGAGGTATGTTGCGCTCAAAGCCTGGGTTAGCTGTCCTACGAAAGTCGCTCTCTTTTAGCGTCGCTGTATCACCATGGTAACTTATGCTGGCAACCAAACCTGGTCGGGAGGAGGTTTTCAGCTCAGACTTTCCGATTAGATCGGCTTCTTAAAGCTGCAGCGCCGCTTTCGGGACAGATCCGATCCCTTTATGAGAGATACAGGTTCTCATCAGAGGGTATTTATGAGAGATACAGGTTCTCATCAGAGGGTATTTATGAGAGATACAGGTTCTCATCAGAGGGTATTCGCTATTTGGTCGTCCTTGTTGGACCTTATGAGGGCAATGCTACAAAAAGAAGCCGTGCGCAGTGTGTCTGTGTTTCACTGCGATGTGTTGCCACGGGTAGCCTACATATTTGCATACAGTTGGTGATGCCGAACATATCCGCAAAAAGGTGCCTTCCGATACGCAAGGTTGTAGCTGCCCTAAATACACTGCTAAATATGTTCGTGGTGTTTCCCAACTTTTTGCCAACACAAACTGTCAAGTTGCAAGTTATCAACTTGCAGGTAAAAGAAAACCCCTGTATATGTGAATGAGTGGTAGAGTGGCGGTAGCGCGTCAGTCTTCAGATTCTGCGTGCTGGGTTCGATTCCCAAGTGAAGTGGGTATGTGTAGTTTATTTTAAAAAAAAGTTATATTTCTTATGTCATATGGAATATTTATTCATTAATGTTATGGAATTATCCAGTTTGGTAATCTAGATGAGGGTAAAAGGCATGATGATGGGCAGGCAACATATGAACCCCGGTCGCTGCGTCAGCTCACGTCCTAATCCACCACACCACCGTCGCTACCATCCAGCACATGCAATACGTTTCTTACATATAGGATGTATTTGAAAGGAATTCCCTAAATTACACAAAAAAGCAAGTTGTTGGTTGCTTTTGCATTTTGCAATCATATGCGTAAGAATTGTTCGCCATTAATCCCAATAGAGTATTGGGATTAATGGCGAACAATTCTTACGCATTCACAGAATCTGCTGTTTGTTGCCAGCATGGGCAACTGTATCGCCCCTTGCCGTTATTTGCTTTTTAAACTCCTCGTATGAGTTCATAATCACTACTTGCTCCTCCTAAGTGACATACACAGCCCGTGTTCGCTCCGTCGGATCCATTGCGTCAAGGTGAATGACGTATTGACGTTGGGTTACGCCCTTTTTATGTGAACGCGCATTGAACCTAAAGCGGAAAACCTGGCTTGACAAATTTACCTTTAAGTGAGCTTCGTGGAACCGTTTAACTCTGATCGCGAGTTTCGTCTTTAGCAATCGAGGTTTTCCCAAGAAAACCTGGATATGTTCAGCGAGCTTCGTAGTATACCCCCCTGGTGAGCCAAAAAGTTAGTTTCAACCCCTGGGTGGCAGTGACGCGGAGGAACCTTTCTGAAAAGTGGCTGCACCCTCCATTGGTCGTATAGCGCGACTGCGGTCCACTTAAAAAAAAAAAAAAAACGGTTAACCGTGTACACGAATAAAAAGGGGTCGTGTAACCGTTTACAATTTTTTGTAACCGTTCACACCCCTACTGGCAATAATATCATAAATAAAAATAAAAATCATCATGAAAGTGGAAGGTGTATGATCGCCAGCCCTGTGACCAGTTAGCTTTACTGGTTGTGAGGACATCACAGTTGAGGACTGCAGAGGGTGGCTGTGACATGCCAGAAGGTTTTTCCCTATGTGCCTTGAAGGCAAGACATCAGGGGCCTCATGTACGAAGACTTGCGTGGATTCTTGCGTGGATTTTGGCGTACGCCAAAACCCCGAAAATGTTGTACGCACAAATAAATTCAGATGTATGAAAGTGTGCGTACGCATGGATCCGAGCGCGTTTCTTTTGTACATCCCGATCAACGTGGAACTGAGCGCACGTGCAGATGTGGCAAACTCCACCCTGTCCACGCCCCCATTTAAATATGCAAATCTATGTAAATAGGCCCTGGACCTGAGATTCACCTCTATCCGATCACATAAAACAAGTGTGGCACAGAGGATATTTATATATTATTGCCACTTACTTAAATGTGTTATTTTATATGTATGGACTTTATTTGGCATTTTTACAGACACCCCCCATTCAATTTTAAGCATTATTATTATTATTATTATTATTATTATTATTATTGTTATTATTATTATTAAAGGCACGAGACCACCCGCGGCTATATAAACTGTGGACCGGGACCAGTAAAGCCACTGAGGACCGGCCGACTCACTTGTCTTTTTGTTTAATTGATTCTTTCAGAATAACATCTTTTCTAAAATATGCCAACCCTTGAGTCAGCTTCACTCTCTGTGTGTAACACAAGCATGAACAAAGGAAAGAAAAGACATTTCACAGAGTCCGAGTTGGAGATTGTGGTGAATGACGTGGAGCCGCGGAGGGAGATTCTCTCTGGTCCCGTCAGCATAAGGGATCCATATGAAGAGAACAAGAAATGAGTGGGAGTGTGTGTGTGAGGCTGTAAATGCCGTGGGGCCCGAGCAGCGCGCGCACACACACACACACACACACAGGTGAAGAAGTGGTCGTATCTGAAGGTGGAGGTGAAGCGGAGGAATATATTCTATGCGTCACTTTCATGCCGCACACTTGGAAGACCACTAGGTGGCGCTGTTTTTGAGCAAATTCCGTAACGCTAATAACTCCCGCATACTTCGCATACTTTGTCGCACATTCGAAATCGGCTTATGAGCCAATTGTCATCGTTTGCACGTAAATCCTCGCGTTCCCTAAATACTCGCTCACATCGGATTGCACCATTTGCAAGGTCCTCTAACAACGCTGCCATCGGTAATACCATTTCCTTCATCACATTGCGCATGCGTTTATATCCACACGTATAGTTGCAAACACGGTGGGTGTGTTAGTTGTTCATAAGTGTGTCTCTGACGTGCACATCACTCTGATGACTAATTGTTTTTGACATTATTAACAGTTTCCCAGCGTCACCTCTAAGTGTCGCCAAAGGAACAATAGCTGTAGAAACGTGCGTACGCCAGCCATGAAGTTGACGTGAGGCACCGCACATTTCCACGGTCATTTCACGTTTCATACATCTGGACGTGAGCGTGGAACGCCATTTTTTTTTGCGTACGCCACGTTTTTGTGCGTACGCAACCTTCGTACATGAGGCCCCAGGTGTGATGTTGTTGAAGTGCTTTGGCCTAAAAGGGAGGACAGAATGGATGCATACATTATAAACATGTTTTTTCTCATATTTGTGTGTCCAGGAAATATTTTGCATTGACGGCAAAACTATGTAAACAGCCTGTCCAGTTTTGATGCAACCACTTTGAATTTTGAGTGTCAGGGCTTATGCAATGATCAAGACAGTAAATCTGGTGACTGTACATGTACTGATTGTGGGTAACAGTTTGGTTGTTATAGGCTCTTGCACAGGTGGTTTAGTGTTATGAGAAATTGTTTTACTGTTAAGTGAATTGCACTTAAAGGGGACCTATTTCACCACCAGGTGTGAGTGTGATTAGCCATTTCAAAATCTACCCTCTACGTGACCTCACAAGTGGGAGTGTCCACCCAGATGTATGATGGATAGATCAGCCTACCAGTTGGTACAGTCCACTGGGTAGGATGGTAGACTGATCTATCCATCATACATCTGGGTGGACACTCCCACTTGTGAGGTCACGTAGAGGGTAGATTTTGAAATGGCTTGCAATGGCTAATCACACTCACACCTGGTGGTGAAATAGGTCCCCTTTAAGAGTTTTGAGAATTAAGTTAGACGAGTGAAAGTGGACCAAGTTAAAGGTTGCTCCAGGTGAGGGTCGAACTCACAACCTCGGCATTGCTCTGCTGGCTACTGCTGTATAAGTACCGCGCGCTAACCGATTGCGCCACTGGAGCTTATTTCCATGACAGCTAACAAACATGCACAGGTAACTTTATTGATTAATTGTATATTCACAATGAGTAGAGTCTAAACATGGTGGATTCAGAGTATGGCTTCTTAGGTGTGCACATGCATATACACCCACATTAAGTCACAAATGCTCCAGTATGTGAATTATGCCGTGTTTTGGTGGGTGAATTCAGCCATAACACAGTGACCTTGTGGCGCAACGGTAGCGCGTCTGACTCCAGATCAGAAGGTTGCGTGTTCAAATCACGTCAGGGTCATCTGCTTTTCTGAACATCCACACTAGGATCAAGTTCCTCATGAGTTCATTTATTCGGTATATGTAGCTTAGTGATGTTTGGCAATACATACGTGTGCTGCATTGCTCTGCTGGACAAGTAACACACACTGCCCAATGGTGCATGTGCACACAGAAAACAGTGATGTAGTTGTACCGATTGCGCCCATTGAGCTTATTTATGCACATGCACGTGCATGTGCGTACAAGACATGACAGCTAACAAACATGCACAGGTAACTTTAGTGATTAATTGTATATTCACAATGACTATGGTCTAAACATGGTGGATTCAGAGTATGGCTTCTTAGATGTGAACATGCATACACACCCACAGTAAGTCACCAACGCTCCAGTATGTGAATGACGCCATGTTTTGGTGGGTGAATCATGCCTGAATACAGTGACCTTGTGGCGCAACGGTAGCGCGTCTGACTCCAGATCAGAAGGTTGCGTGTTCAAATCACGTCAGGGTCATCAACTTCTCTGATAATCCACACTCAGATGGAGTTCCTCAGGAGTTCAACTATTAGGTACATGTAAAAGAAAAGGTTGACTCACTGGAACAAGCGATTCTGCTGTTTTCACATCCACAATATTTGCCGTGAAGTGTTACTACTGGCAATTAGGGGTGTGAACGTGTACACGTGTAACCGGTTAGTAAATCATAACCGTTTAGGAAAAATCAGTAAACAAAAAGGAAAAAAAAAATCAAAATCTTCAGTCAATCTAAATATTCTGCACGATTGCGGCGGACCCGGCCGCGGACCCAGCACCGGAACCGCCAGCCGCGGACCCGACCGCGCTCCTATTTTTTTCTGGTACAAAATCTGTTTGTCTAGTAAAAATTGTCATCTACTCGCCAGTTGTCTGGTAAGCCAAAAAGTTAGTTTCAACCCCTGGGTGGCAGTGACGCGGAGGAACCTTTCTGAAAAGTGGCTGCACCCTCCATTGGTCATATAGCGCGACTGCGGTCCACTTAAAAAAAAAAAAAAAACGGTTAACCGTGTACACGAATAAAAAGGGGTCGTGTAACCGTTTACAATTTTTTGTAACCGTTCACACCCCTACTGGCAATAATATCATAAATAAAAATAAAAATCATCATGAAAGTGGAAGGTGTATGATCGCCAGCCCTGTGACCAGTTAGCTTTACTGGTTGTGAGGACATCACAGTTGAGGACTGCAGAGGGTGGCTGTGACATGCCAGAAGGTTTTTCCCTATGTGCCTTGAAGGCAAGACATCAGGGGCCTCATGTACGAAGACTTGCGTGGATTCTTGCGTGGATTTTGGCGTACGCCAAAACCCCGAAAATGTTGTACGCACAAATAAATTCAGATGTATGAAAGTGTGCGTACGCATGGATCCGAGCGCGTTTCTTTTGTACATCCCGATCAACGTGGAACTGAGCGCACGTGCAGATGTGGCAAACTCCTCCCTGTCCACGCCCCCATTTAAATATGCAAATCTATGTAAATAGGCCCTGGACCTGAGATTCACCTCTATCCGATCACATAAAACAAGTGTGGCACAGAGGATATTTATATATTATTGCCACTTACTTAAATGTGTTATTTTATATGTATGGACTTTATTTGGCATTTTTACAGACACCCCCCATTCAATTTTAAGCATTATTATTATTATTATTATTATTATTATTATTATTATTATTATTATTATTATTATTATTGTTATTATTATTATTAAAGGCACGAGACCACCCGCGGCTATATAAACTGTGGACCGGGACCAGTAAAGCCACTGAGGACCGGCCGACTCACTTGTCTTTTTGTTTAATTGATTCTTTCAGAATAACATCTTTTCTAAAATATGCCAACCCTTGAGTCAGCTTCACTCTCTGTGTGTAACACAAGCATGAACAAAGGAAAGAAAAGACATTTCACAGAGTCCGAGTTGGAGATTGTGGTGAATGACGTGGAGCCGCGGAGGGAGATTCTCTCTGGTCCCGTCAGCATAAGGGATCCATATGAAGAGAACAAGAAATGAGTGGGAGTGTGTGTGTGAGGCTGTAAATGCCGTGGGGCCCGAGCAGCGCGCGCACACACACACACACACACACACAGGTGAAGAAGTGGTCGTATCTGAAGGTGGAGGTGAAGCGGAGGAATATATTCTATGCGTCACTTTCATGCCGCACACTTGGAAGACCACTAGGTGGCGCTGTTTTTGAGCAAATTCCGTAACGCTAATAACTCCCGCATACTTTGTCGCACATTCGAAATCGGCTTATGAGCCAATTGTCATCGTTTGCACGTAAATCCTCGCGTTCCCTAAATACTCGCTCACATCGGATTGCACCATTTGCAAGGTCCTCTAACAACGCTGCCATCGGTAATACCATTTTCTTCATCACATTGCGCATGCGTTTATATCCACACGTATAGTTGCAAACACGGTGGGTGTGTTAGTTGTTCATAAGTGTGTCTCTGACGTGCACATCACTCTGATGACTAATTGTTTTTGACATTATTAACAGTTTCCCAGCGTCACCTCTAAGTGTCGCCAAAGGAACAATAGCTGTAGAAACGTGCGTACGCCAGCCATGAAGTTGACGTGAGGCACCGCACATTTCCACGGTCATTTCACGTTTCATACATCTGAACGTGAGTGTGGAACGCCATTTTTTTTTGCGTACGCCACGTTTTTGTGCGTACGCAACCTTCGTACATGAGGCCCCAGGTGTGATGTTGTTGAAGTGCTTTGGCCTAAAAGGGAGGACAGAATGGATGCATACATTATAAACATGTTTTTTCTCATATTTGTGTGTCCAGGAAATATTTTGCATTGACGGCAAAACTATGTAAACAGCCTGTCCAGTTTTGATGCAACCACTTTGAATTTTGAGTGTCAGGGCTTATGCAATGATCAAGACAGTAAATCTGGTGACTGTACATGTACTGATTGTGGGTAACAGTTTGGTTGTTATAGGCTCTTGCACAGGTGGTTTAGTGTTATGAGAAATTGTTTTACTGTTAAGTGAATTGCACTTAAAGGGGACCTATTTCACCACCAGGTGTGAGTGTGATTAGCCATTTCAAAATCTACCCTCTACGTGACCTCACAAGTGGGAGTGTCCACCCAGATGTATGATGGATAGATCAGCCTACCAGTTGGTACAGTCCACTGGGTAGGATGGTAGACTGATCTATCCATCATACATCTGGGTGGACACTCCCACTTGTGAGGTCACGTAGAGGGTAGATTTTGAAATGGCTTGCAATGGCTAATCACACTCACACCTGGTGGTGAAATAGGTCCCCTTTAAGAGTTTTGAGAATTAAGTTAGACGAGTGAAAGTGGACCAAGTTAAAGGTTGCTCCAGGTGAGGGTCGAACTCACAACCTCGGCATTGCTCTGCTGGCTACTGCTGTATAAGTACCCGCGCGCTAACCGATTGCGCCACTGGAGCTTATTTCCATGACAGCTAACAAACATGCACAGGTAACTTTATTGATTAATTGTATATTCACAATGAGTAGAGTCTAAACATGGTGGATTCAGAGTATGGCTTCTTAGGTGTGCACATGCATATACACCCACAGTAAGTCACAAATGCTCCAGTATGTGAATTATGCCGTGTTTTGGTGGGTGAATTCTGTCATAACACAGTGACCTTGTGGCGCAACGGTAGCGCGTCTGACTCCAGATCAGAAGGTTGCGTGTTCAAATCACGTCAGGGTCATCAGCTTTTCTAAAAATCCACACTAAGATCAAGTTCCTCATGAGTTCATCCATTAGGTACTGTATATGTTGGTTAATGTGTAGAACTCAAATACGAAAAGGTTGACACACTTCAATAAGGCCGTCTGCCGTTTTCACATCTACATTATTTGCTGTAAAGTGAAACAACTGGCAGTAAACTTTAACACCTCATTCAGTGAACTTGTGGCACAACGGTAGCACATATGACTCTAAATCAGGAAGTTGTGTGCGTGTTGTGTGTGTGTGGCGCAATGATAGCACGTATGACTCCAGATCAGAAGGTTGCGTGCTCAAATCACATCAGGGTCGTCAGCTTCTCTGAAGATCCACACTAGGATCAAGTTTCTCATGAGTTCATCCATTAGGTATACGTTTGTAACTTAATCAAGGAAAAGGAGAAGGTTTACCCACTGGAACATGTCAGTCTGCCATTTTCACATCCACATTATTTGCGGTGTGTTACTACTAGCAGTACATTTGTGCGGTCATGTTGTGATCGTTTGTGTGGATCGCGCACACACACAGACTTCTTTGAAAGGCATCTTAGTGATGTTTGGCAAAACATAAGACTCCTCCAGGTGAGGCTCGAACACACACACACACCCACACACAGTGTGTGAAGGGCATCTGATGGGGATTGACACTGTATGGCCCTGTGGTGTAATGGTAGCATGTCTGACTGCAGATCAGAACGGTGTGCGTGCGCAAAACACATCAGGGTTAACACCATTTGAAAGTGTGTTGTTCAGTTGACAGACTACAACAAGCAGACATTACATCACCACATGAAATAAAGTTCAGTATAAGGCACTGTTTCAGTTGAAGTGCCACTAACTCACTTGAAACTGTCGGTCTGCAGTGTCCATCACTATTTGTGGCAATGAGCTACTTGACAGAAACAACATCAATGAGGTTGTGGTGGGACTGCACTTTCAGGTGGAGGATTCATTAGTCACTCATTTAAATGCGGTCTGACAAAGTTTAAAGGTTGCTCCAGGTGAGGCTGAAAATCAAAACCTTGGCATTGCTCTGCTGGATAAGTTCCTGCCACTGGAGCACAGGATCCAATGAAAGAGATTCAAGGAAATGCACACGCACACCCCAATGCTGTTATCAACTCTAGTGTGTGAACGATAGCAGATGATGGATTTAAGGTGTGACTTTCTTTCGCTCCAAACATCATCTTAAACAGCTCAACTAATGCTTGGCACACAATGGACGACACCATGTTGCCCATTCTCAACGTCATTGCGGAAGATGTCCCAAATTCATGCTATACAATATGTATATACTCTATGTTAACCTAACTCTTCAAGTATGTCTCGAGCTGTTTATTTTGAGCACATTTTTGATATTGAATCAGAATTTAGTTTTCACCCTAATACTAAAAATCAACATAATTCAACCAGTACTTCACATTTTGTGTGACGTAGTTTGACCCAAGTTAACAGTTGCCCCAGGTAAGGCTCAAACGGCCTTCCCAAGGGTCGCTTTGCTAGATACTGCTGTATGAGTACCTCGTGTTGACCGTTTGCACCACTGGAGCTAACTTATGCAGAAGGCACATGCATGTTAACATGCAAACTGCATACATGTGTGCCAGACATGACACGACACAAACATGCACAGGTCAAATTTGGGCTTGGTTTTATGTCCACAATGAGTATGGATGTAAACATTGTGGATTTGTAGTATACGGCTTCTTCGGCATGCGCATGCATACACACCGACAGTAACTTACCAACGCTCCAGTATGGGAACGATGTGCTGTGTTAACGGGTGAAATCACAATGCACCCAGTGACCTCATTGTGCAGCGGTAGCGCGGCACCCTCCCGATCAGAAGGTTGTGTGTTCAAATCACGTCGGCCACACCAGGATCAAGTTAATGAATTGAAACATGGAATACAAGATGTCTACAGTTTTCTCATCCACGTTTGTTGTGTTAAAGGGCCCCTTTTTTAACACTTGGTGTGATGTTGATTACAAGCCAATCAAAATCTACCTAGTGAGATCACAAGTGGGAGTGTTCACCCAGATGTATGATGGTTAGATCAGCCTACCAGTTGGTACAGTCCAGTGGATAGGCTGGTAGGCTGATATAGCCGTCATACATTTGGGTGAACACTCCCACTTGTGATGTCACTAGAGGGTAGATTTTGACTTTGATTTTGACTGGCTTGTAATGGCTAATCAACATCACACATGGTGGTAAATAAGAGGCCCTTTAATACTGTCAGTATATTTGTGAGGAGATGTTGTGAATGTGATCGTTTGTGTGGATTGGAAAAACAAATTTATTTTAAAATTGCTCTGCTGGGTACTGCTGTATAAGTACCACGTGCTGACCAACCTACCAGGAGTGCACATGGCCTAGAAACTGTCCACACACACACACACACACACACACCAAAGCCAAGTTATCAGCACTATATTGTGAGAACAACATCTGAGAGCTGTGGATTATTTTTAGTGGAGTGACCTCGTGGCGCAACGGTAGCGCGTCTGACTCCAGATCAGAAGGTTGCGTGTTCAAATCACGTCGGGGTCATTCGCTTTTTCCAATTTGACATTTACAAATCTTTCCACATAACACTAAACCACCCATGCAAGGGCTTATAACAACCAAAATGTCACCCACATGTGTCAAAACACACACAGTCAATAGACAACAATATCACCAAATTATCATTGCGTAAACCCTGACACTAAAAATTCAAAGAATTTGCATCAAAACTGGACAGGCTGTTTACATAGTGTTGCTGTCCATGCAAAATATTTCCTGGACACACAAATATGAGGAAAAAAATGTTCATTATGTATTCATCACATTAGATATTACGGTCTGTCCTCCCTTTAAGGCCACAGCAATTCATCAACATCACAGCTGATGTCTTGCCTTTCAAGGCACAGAGGGAAAAACCTTCTGGCATGTCACAGCCGCCCTCTGCAGTCCTCAACTGTGATGTCCTCACAACCAGCATTCATTGCATCCAGTAAAGCTACCTGGTCATGGGGCTGGCAATCATACACCTTCCACCTCCATGCTGAGTTTTCATTGATTTTTTTTACAGAAAATTGGCTTGAGCAATATGGAGGACTAAAAGTGCCAAAATTAAATAAATAAACACACCATTAAATAATTACTTAAATGTGTCATTAATTAATTAAAATTGGAATTAAATATTTAAATGTGTCATTAATTCATTAAAATACCGATTAATTTTATGTTAAAAAAAACCCCATATATAATCATTTCACTATTTAATTAATTTACATTTACATTTCATGATTTACATTTACATTTCATGATCCTGTGTTGCAGTGCTTCATGAATTGTCAAACTGTCAAACTCGCCCATCAAAGTCAGTGGGTGGGGCTAACGCTAATCTAGTCTGATCCATTGCTTTGGTCTGTAGTAGAGTGCCTGGTTAGAGAAAATGGAGGATCTTCATGAACTTTCTAGGGAGTTGGTGAGAGACATTTTAGACTTAGCAGAGGATGTGGAAGCAGGACCAGAAAGTTTTGTTTAATAGAGTATCTAAACCAACGTAGAGGGGAATAGCGCCACCCAGTGTATTGGAATGTGTTCACTAGCTCTGCATCAATCCATTATCTGGAATTGATTTGCCTTGACTTGATGCCCAGGGTAACCAATCAGGCATTAGGATCCGCCTACCAACTTTGATGGGCGAGTTTGACAGTTTGACAATTCATGAAGCACTGCAACACAGGATCATGAAATGTAAATGTAAATCATGAAATGTAAATGTAAATTAATTAAATAGTGAAATGATTATATATGTTGTTGTTTTTTTTACATAAAATGAATCGGTATTTTAATGAATTAATGACACATTTAAGTATTTAATTCCAATATTAATTAATTAATGACACATTTAAGTAATTATTTAATGGTGTATTTATTTATTTATTTATTTAATTTTTGCACTTTTAGTCCTCCATAGAGGAAGGGTGAAGAGGGCAGCATTATGCTTGTGAGTATTTGGTGTTCACAAGTTGCACTTGTGGGATGGAATTGACAGCATGTGTTCTCTGTTACTATTCAAAGTTACTCGCCTTCTCTTTTGTACAAACACAAGACTCATTGTACATAGTGTGTTGCATGCAATCATTTACCTAATGAACAAACACGCACAGGTCACTTCAGTGATTGTATATATTGTATATAATTGTATATTCACAATGAGTATGGTCTAAACATGGTGGATTCAGAGTATGGCTTCTTAGGTGTGCACATGCATACACAGCCGCAGTAAGTCACCAACACTCCAGCATGTGAATGATGTCATGTTTTGGTGGGTGAATTCCGCCATAATACAGTGACCTTGTGGCGCAACGGTAGCGCGTCTGACTCCAGATCAGAAGGTTGCGTGTTCAAATCACGTCAGGGTCATTAGCTCTCCAAAAATCCACACTAGGGTCAAGTTCATCCATTTGGTTTGTTGGTAAACGTACCGAACTCAAACAAGGAATGAGAAAGGGCTGACTCACGCATAGTAATTGCGGCAAAGTGTCAATACTGGAAGTAAATTTGGGAGGTTGTGATTGTACACACTTCATTTAAATGCAGCTTAGCAAAGTTTGGAAAACAAAGGATGCACCAGGTGAGGCTCGAACTCACAACCTCGGCATTGCTCTGCTCGATAAGTAAGGGATAAACCCTGACAGGCGGATGCATGACCCCGATGCAAAGTGGAGGGGTCTTGAATCATCATTTATGCATTTCCATATTATAAAGGAATGCAAGTGGAATGATGTGATAAGCTGCCATAATCTGCTTGTCTTTCACTGATGGAGATAGTTTCAGTTAAAAGTTGCTCCAGGCGAGGCTTAAACTCCCAACGTCGGTATTGCTCTGCTGGATACTGCCAGAAGTACATACATGCACTGAAGTACATGCATGCACACGCACACACACACCCACAGACATCAAAGGCAAGTTAGCGCCACCATATTGTGAGAACGACAAAATCTGAGAACTGTGGACCATAGATCCTAAAGTCACCTCGTGGCGCAACGGTAGCGCGTCTGACTCCAGATCAGAAGGTTGCGTGTTCAAATCACGTCGGGGTCACAAGCTTCTCCTAGTTGGACAGTTGCAAATCTTATAAATGAAAAAGACTGATGCAGGGATGAAGTTATAAAAAACAAGGGACTTGTAAGTGCTTCTGTCTTACCACAGCACATTGTCTATATTCATTCAGAATGTAGTTCACTCACTAAAAAAAAACGTGTTGTCTAAAAAGCCAGGAGACACTTAACAAATGGTTCAAATCAGAGGAAGATTAAGGGCAAGGTAGACTTTCAAATTAGTTTATTTTAAAGGCAGCGGAGTGAAACTGGACCAAGTTACAGGTTGCTCCACGTGAGGCTTGAACTCACAAACTCAGCATTGCTCTGCTGGCTACTGCTGTATGTACCACACGCTGACCGATTGCGCCACTGGAGCACATTTTTCCCATGTAAACAAGCACACACAAACACACATGCATCTACACACACACACACACACACACTGTAGACGATATGCAGTGTTTAGAATTTAGTTTCCAACTAAAATAATGTCAAGTAGTTCATCCAACATTATTATTTAGAAAGCAAGGAGACAAATTCACAGAAGAAACACAGGACAGGACAGGACAGGTTGCTTAATAAGCTTGGAGTGTGTCTCTTTTTGATCCTGAACTGACTGATACACTTGGCCACAACCCTACTCAACAAAGACTTCCCTATCTTATAAGGGGTTATTACTTTTTAGTTTTTGATTGTAATAATTTTTTTGCGCAAGCTCTCCTGATTCTTAATAAGATTATATCAACATCGATCCCCCAAGGGGAAATTCTTGGAAAATATTTATTAAATTAATGACTCTTCGGAAATCATACACCTGAGGTCTGAATAAAAGTTGATTTATCGATAGTCCATGTGGCAACACAAGACTATGGTTTTAGTGTATTTTTGCTCAATCTTCCATGTTGTCTATGGGAAAGCAGGTAAAGCAGGAGGTAAGTTACTACTGCCATCCAATCAACACATTCTATAGGTGAGATGGCAGCACATCAGGCATGCTTTGTGCTTTAGACAGTTTCAACCTCTAGATGGCAGCAAACTAAAATATATTGTCTAACACAGTGGTTCCCAACCTTTGACTTTTGAGGTACCACTAAATTGTCATCAAGACCTTTTGCGGTAAAAATAGATCAGCACACATGCAGTGGCTGAGCAAAGGGTGCCAGCGCCTAGGGCTGGGCAATAATTCAATATTATTGTTTATTGTTTTTGAATGGTATTGTATTGTCATGAAATGGAGATATCAACTTATTGTCATACCCAGTTTGATAGTATAAATTCATTAATATGAGAAGATATGCCTTTAAAATGATCAAATATGAGGTTTGAAACATCAGAGAGAAAGGAAAACTAAAACCATTACATTTCCATATACTTCGATGCAATGACTCTCAATTAGACTGTTAAGAATGGCATTTTTAATGCCTGTTATGGAGCTTGAAGTGTGTTCATGTTAGCTGGTCTGCTATAGGGTGTGACCCATACGTCATCATGTGATTTGGGGGTGATTCCTACCCTAGATTGAATGACCTCGTGGCACACCGGTAGCGTGTCTGACTCCACATCAGAAGGGTGCATGTCAGTCGTGTTTTGCCAAAATAGAAAGTGGGGACACCCTGTCAAAGGTTAGAACTGAATTGACTTGGAAGTCAAGTGACATGTTAACAAATGGGGCCGGTATTTCCATACCATGTTTATATTTATCAAAATACTACGAAAGGAAACCAGAACAGGCTCTTCCTCCTCACAGAGAACCTACCTCTACCTCTAGTGGACTAGACTACTTTATGTCAGATTATTGGCATTTCAAAACATGTGAGGTCACGCTGGGTAATCGGTGTTATTATTAGACAAGCTGGCCCAAGCTCAGCCTAGCATGGTGTGCTCTACATCAAAGAAAATCAAATCACACAAAATCATTTAAACCGCAATTGCGATCATTATATCATCAATTGTGAAGCCCTGGATCGACCCTATGTTATTATTAATGAACGCCCATCAAACATCCAAAAGGGAACAGGATACCCTGGCGTTGCTCCCGACTTGGCATTCACAGTTAAGACAGTTGTGTTTCGCTATGGGAGGGAGATACGCCTTTTATCCTGCGAACCATAGTCGTCTTTGCTTGCCCTGGGCCAGCAACTGCCACAGTCAATCTCAGAGTATGTATGCCAGTCTGTATGCCAGCGCCAGAAAGTAAAAAGTAGAAATCAGCAAAATGAACCATTTCTAACATTGTAATATTCATCATCATCATTATATTTGCAGGCAAGGCAAGGCAAGTTTATTTATGTAGCACCATTCAAACACAAAGGCCACTCAGAGTGCTGTATACTGGCAGTAAAAGAGGAAATAGAGACAATGTTTGTTGATGTTTAAGAGGTAAATAGAATATGCCAACGTATGCATTATGTTAGGACTGGGCGATATGGCCAAATCTTCTATATCTATTTAATATCTCGAAAACCATATTTATCACGATATAGCAAGTTTCCGGTAAATCTATACATAAATAGTATATATAAAATAAGCACATGGTAAAGCCTATTTGTATACTCCTGTGTGAATTTAATACTTGACAAATGAAAAGTATCACTTTACTGTAATGCAGCTTTGAAAACCAGGTAAAGACAACACTTATGCCATCACTATATTATGATATCCAAATTCTAAGATGATATCTTGTCTCAAATCACAATATCAATATAAGTAAGGGATAATCTAAGGTGTGCATGTATCGAAAAATAACGCACCTCCGCGAAGTACATTATTTTTCGATACCCGCTTATACCGGCAACGTTATCTTATTACTCCCGTAAATAGAGACCCGTAGAGAAACGTAGTCCCCCCGAGTCCGGTCCAAGTTGTCGTTTAGCGCATACCTCTCCAGCCAATCAGAATCGAGTATTCACCCGGGCCATGGTAAAAACAGTGTTGAGGCACACATCAGATCTTCTGGAAGTTTGTTCCAGATATGTGATAAATAAAAGCTGATTCACCGTAAACCATGAACCCTGAAGAACATTATTTTTAAGTATGCCTTAGACACAGACCATGTTATTGATGTTTAAATAGTCTTGGAAGTGAGTTCATAACAGTTAGAATTTGAGTATGTCGAACTTGCAAATATATGCAAATTAGATTTTTGGCCGTGTGTATATCGTAGAAATATCATGGTGGTACGGTGGCACTGTGGTTAGCCCTGCTACCCTCACAGCAACTAGGTCCTGGGTTTGAGCCCTGTGGGGGCCCTTTCTGTGTGGAGTCTTTGCGTGGTCTCTCTGTGTTTACGTGGGTTTTCTCCCACACCAAAAACATCCATGTTAGGTTAATACTGCTGCTTGACTGTAAGGCAGAACTCACAACCTCGGCGTTGCTCTGCTGGATACTGCTGCACAAGTACCACGAGCTGATCGATTGCGCAATAAAGACACTGAAACATCCTTTTTAGTTTGCAGGCTGCAAAACAAGACAAAACACGGTCTGCTGGGAGTAAAACAACCGGTCCTCTCGGAGCAGCAGCGGAGGAAATCATTGCGGTTGTAGACAGGAAGAAAAAAAAGAGAGAGAGATATAACACTGAAAGAGAGAGAGAGAGACAAAGTGGGGGAGGAGGTCGTCACAATAGGTGTCAGTGGACAAGCTGGTAGAGGAGCCAGGTGCCTGATAATAAGAAGTGGATAAACTGGATTTACCACTCCACCAACTCAAACACACTACCCGGGCAAACACACACACACATACGATACGGTCATCCAAGCACAGACGCACAAATGATAGACAATTCAGTTTACACAATGCAAATGTCGATAGCACTGCTATCTGTGCATGCACTATCAGTAGCACAGTGATGTGTGCAGGCTAGTCTGTGTGAAACACCATAGCAGCTGTCTGACTCCAAGCACTGCATTAGCCAAGACAATGGATTCACTGTTTATTTGCTTTGCAGCAAGGTGTCTGTGAAATGCAGCTCTGTGACCAGTGCTGCATGTAGCCTATATAACCCAGTGGTTCCCACACTTCTTTTTGGCCCGTGAAGCCATTTCTAGTGTTGACAATGTTTGCGGCCCCAACTTTAACTTTTTGCATATCAGACAACCCCAAGTGGGGTCCCGACCCCGAGGTTGGGAACCATTGATATAACCATTGTCACCAAATGCATACAGATGAGGACATAGAGACTGCATGACGTTAAAATATATTATTTATATTCAAAGTATGCCAAAATGTTGAATTCATATTTCACATTCCAGCCTAATCGGTGTCAACTACCACAAACAACGACGGATTCATCTGTGAGGCACATGCGTTACATTTCAACCAATAATGTCACAACATGTTTCTGTTCCCTCTCTCCTATCAACGCCTGCGACAGGCTAACACACGAAGCCGCCGAGCATGTTTAGTCACTTTTGCTCGATCCGTCAAATCCCGAAAGTTGTCGAGATCCTTCTAGGTTCCCGCGCTCATATCCTGTTTTATTTGCACATATTACCTCATACTACGGAAGTAAGCTGTGGCTGTGAACGCAATCCCATGCTGTCTCCAAGTACAGACCGACAGCCGAATAAATGACAATGCATACATACAGATGGGGGGGGGGGGGGGGGGGGGCAGAACAAACAACATTGTGCTATTTCAATATGTTAAGTTCATATTGAATTCATTGATTCATTGTTGTGTGAAGGTGTTTAAGGTGTGAACACAGGAGGAGGTGCTGGGCTATGTTTGAGACAAACAATGACAATGACAACAAAGGATGGAAAAAAAGGAAGCCTGTAGGAAGAGTTGTAATGGCGCCCAGCGACCGCCAGGGGGCTCGAGCGCACAAGGCCACAACACAGGAAGGCTTCCTTGGCTTCCCTTGATTCCTTGAAGTTTTGTTTTTTTAACAATACATTTTTGAATATATGAATATGGACATATTTGTGGAAATTTAGCTGGTGTTAGCCGACATGCTGAAGCCCAATTTCACAGAAGAAGCGCAGCAATAGAAGAATATAATATCAGAGAACAATAGAGGAGAGAGGAGGAGAGAGGGGGAGAAAGGTGAGGTGGGGGAGAATCAAAGAGAAGAGAGTGCGAGATTTTAAGGTGTGTTTCAGAGAGCAGGTGCAGTCACCCCTGATCCCACCTGGTACGTAACCATGGCACCCAGCACCTCATCCACAGACACTTTGATAAAACACCGTCATGTGCGCGCATGCGCACACACACACACACACACACACACACACACACACACACACAGATCCAGATTCAATAAAATCAACATACACTATTCAAAACCAGGTGCCATATCTCTCTCTCTCTCTCTCGCTCTCTCTCTCTGTGCCTCTCTCTCTCTCTCTCCCTCTCTCTCTCTCCCATCATGTTGAA